GTATTAAAGAGTAATATGCTTAAGTGGAGAGAGAGAGAGAGGTTAATCACTGGATCTTTGTTTATCGATTCAACACAGAATATTTGCGATTGAAATGACGCAACGCCTATACCGGATATGTATGGAAAATTAAAATAAATAAAACAAGGGAGGAGGAAAAATATACACAGCACATTATGAAGCTGTATGGATGCACTGATATGATTATGAGCAACAAATTGTGCTCAAAATGTCATCCAGTTATTAATACTCTATCAGTGTGCATTATATCAAATAAACCGATCTAATATAGAATTGTATTCCACCCAGTGCCCGAGTTCTACATTTACATTACTTATACCTTTGATATTTTAATTTCGATTGCTGAATGACACATTGGAATTATTTATTCTCAAGTGTGTCTGTGGTTTATACAAATATTGGTTGTTTACAAGTATTATTGTTTTTTTGTTTGTTTTGTTTATTCTTTCCTTTCAGTATTTCTTAACGTTTACATATGGTTATAAAACTGATTTGTTTTTCTTCTCTTCAGAAGCCCCTACCTTGTCATGCTTCACTAACTGTAATCATTACCCAGATATGTTAAGCACACATGTTTTCTTAACTTATTATTATTATTAAACGGAACTAATTATTTCAAAGTTTAATTAATAGTACTGTTTGCTAGCCACTCGGGAGATCAGGCTTCAATTCCAGGTCGATGCAATTTTAAATCCCTCTTCTTTTTTTAGCCAGTAGTAAACCAGGAAAAGAGGGAAGCTAGCAATCCCATCCTGTAAAAGCGGTTACTGAAACTTCAGGGCTTTTGTCATGAAGAAGTGATACTGGGTCGCGGGTTCACCTAACTTGACTAGAATGCGCCTTCAGAGACGCCAGTATAACCAACTGATCACTTGAAAATATCTTCTACACTGAGATAGACACAAAATTAAAATTCAACCGCAATCGCAGCAAAACCTCAAGAATTCAGGCCTTCAATAAAAAAATTCAAAAATTGTCCAATCCGGTTATCAGGTTACTGCATGCATAAATCATGACTTCATGAGTAAAGAAAAAGCATGTCTATTTTAACACCTCTGTTCGAAAAACGGAACGCAAGGAATAAAAAAAGACTGTAATTATTATTATAATTAATTACTGGAATATAAACTTGTATGCAATTTTCTATTTTAAAAATTACTCAGTCTACGGGAACTTATCGATCTGTACATTTATGTAACTGTTCACAGTGTCTATGTTCTACCACTTTTAGTAAAACATTGTATTTAAAAGTACAACACAGAATATGAGAATATATTTAACTTCTCAGTCATTAATATAACTAAAAATAATTCCTATGGTAGGGAACATGCGTTCCTCTCTGTCTTCTAGCTCTTGTTAACGGAAGCATTTTGTTTAAGTCTGTAGTGTATACTAGCAAACAATATTCATGCGTATTACTGTAAAAATGTGTTTTGGATTCTATACTGGTAAAATAGTCATGCATTTTGACTAAATCTTAACCTGTATTCTTGAAGAATATAGAAAAGGGGATGACGATCACCCACTGACGAGACCCTAATTGAACGAAACGCCCACGTCGTGGATTCCACTGTTATCCGTCATCAACCGAATAACATATATAGGAGTAAACATTTTCATAGTTAGGACAGTTAAAGCAGTAAAACTGTTTTATTTCTATCAGAGGGTCAGTTTTAGGGTTGTAGTCATTTTTTTAAAGATTGTGGGCAAATATCCCATCTTTGTTGTCTATTATGTCCAATAGTTGGTTTGTAAGGATTAGATTTGTTTTGAGGAGTTGATCATGGATTGATATCAGTTAGAGAACCATTGAAAACCAGGGAGTACTGGACAGCTGTTTCATCCTAGTTTGAGAATCATCGGTAGTACGCATCCGTGACCAGTGAGGTCCATCCAGTCAAGTGTGAGGATGGGTGTCGCATTAATGACATTGGTTGGTGGTTGCGCTAAATCACGAATCGGTAGAAGTTAGAATTCGTGGGCCGCTGAATCGGGTCCCAGTGGCTGAAGGGTATACGAGATTATTATTTCACCAGTACAAATATGTTGAGTCCAACCAAAGTGCCCGTTAGGTGCTTTTGGATGAGTGGTGTTTTTGACTGCATCAATTTCCTGTTTTTCAGTATTCATTACGCTTTTTGTCATTGCGGTTTATTGACCACAATTTCAATAGGTATTCATTGAGAGGAAGAGACAAAAGTTACTTAAGAAAATAACTATGGTTTACCTTGTGCTACTGATAAGATTTAACAGTAGTATAAAAAGAGACGTTCATCGGCAAAAAATATCAAATAGCGGAGAGACAGATTTGACGTCGAAGAGAGCAAATTAACCAGTGTTGCATCAAAATATGAGAGACAGGAAAAGAAGACAAATAAGCACAATATAAAGGCCAAAAATAGCACAACACGGAAGATCTGTACAAATAGTGCGTGGAACCTGTGTGTCTGTTTTCGACATAGAACTTTGCACCGATGTCCAGCAGTTCAAGTCACCACACTCCATGTAGCACACAAAGCAAGAGAAGAAATTATAAGAAATGCATAATAGAGACAGTAGACAGGGATATGAGGCAAAAGGAACAGTAATAACGAAGAACAAATATAATTTTATAAATATCAATATAGTTTTATTGGAAATTATAAGTCATAAGGACTGGATGCATCTGCGCCATTGACAACGACGATTTTGCGCCGGCCATATCACCAACTGTCTCCAGGCATTGGTTTTTACTGTCCCGAGGGCCTCAACCAAGGAGTCTACACCTTCCTACGTGACTTAGACTAACTGTTGTAGATTTCATTGACTGTTGCCATGTTTTGGTTTGACCTGCGCTAGCTCTTTTCTAGCCTGACCCTATGTCAGTTAACATTGCCTACTGTCAAAGAGGGCGATGACTAGACATACGTAACACATGTCCTAACCATCTCAGTCGATTGATTCCCCCTCCTTACTCAGAACTCGACTCTTTACGTCAGTAATGCTCACTCCATAAAACCACTTCACACGGGAGATAGAACGCAGGTACCCATAAACAAAGACAGCTAAGTAGGCTTTTTATGTCCTCCACTCTCAATGGCCAGGTCTCACAGCCATAAAGGAGGACGGTGCGGACTGCTGAGCAGTACATCCGCCCTTTGGTTGATAGCCAACCGGATATCACGTCTACGCCAGAGACGGCGTAAACTGGCATATGCGGAACGAGCCTTCCGTATCCGTGCTGAGATTTCCTCAGAGATCAACCCGTTGGCACTGGCTGATGCGACCTCCCAAATAAGTGAAGCAGTTAACGTGCTCTATCACTTCACTCCCTATTTATAAGTTAGGAGTCAATGTAGTCCAGTCCTGTAGCATCATCTTACATTTGATAACAGGAGCGAATCGCATGCCAAACATTCGTAGATTGCAGCTCAAGGTGTTCAGAAGACTCTGCATTTTGTCAGCGTCCTCGCCTAGAAGGACTATATCACCTGCATATTCTAAGTCAACAAGATTATTCCTTGATGGTAATAAGTCAATCGCTGAGTCTCTGAAGTGAGTTAGGGTTAAGTCCATTAGTACATCTGTGATGAAATTGAATAGAAATGGGGATAGTGGGCATCCCTGTCGGAAATCACAAGTTGTCACTACTTCATATGGCAACTCTCCTAGTGCTCCTACCTGACTGCATGAGTTCGAGTAGAGTGAGTGTCTTGATCAGTGCAATGTATTATCTCAGCATTCCCTTTACAGCCAAACATCGCCAGATAGATGAGGTGTACATAATTTGGTTATATAAAGATACCAAATACCAAATAAACATTCCCTCACAAAGTCTCTTGTCTTCTACCGTTACACTGTGCACTCTAATATTCTTTTGTACTTTTTATTTGATCGACATCTAGTTTCAAATCCGTCAGGGTATTTAGTTGTAATATATTTTAGAAGACTGATTATTGAACAAAGAATTTTATTTTCCATAACTTCATAATGTTCTGTAGTTATATAAACAGTTGTGTATTTATCACAAATTCATTTTTTACGTCATCTAATTTACGCTGATGTTTAAGTTGTCTAGCAAATTATCACCCCTTCACCCCTTTGATCTTGACCTGTATTAGGTTAGAGAGACAGGGAATGCAATCTTATTGATTTGAAAACATTGTTACTGCTATTGATTTCCCTCCTTTTTTTGGTTTCAAATTGATTCTTTTGTAAGTTGATTATATTTCAGCAACCGGCATCCCCTCTTTATTTTTGACTGCTTTACAGTATTTGTTGATATTACCCATTGTTCCAGTTGACTTTATGATTGGCTTTGTCAGTAATCGGTGTATCTCAGATTTTTATTTTGATTGGATTGATTACACAACGGCGTCTTAGCCAGTTTTTATCTTAATTAATAGCACATGTGAATGTATGCCGTGAAATGAGGGAATAATACCAAAAGCTGAATGTTTAATTGCATACATTCTCATACTGGACCTTATTATTCGATAATGCAGTCAATCTGACTGATATTTAGTAGTATATTATCAATGCGTAAAAACAGTTACTTATTCACGTGGACATTTACAGGTATCATTAACGAGTGAATAGCCAATCAGTTATTGGCCATTCCAGAGGTCAGTATTTAACCGTTGTAGCATTAAAATGGTGTTATTAGAAATGTTAGTGTATATGGGTAATACACTACAAACAGTATGTTCACAAATCTATTTGTCATTTCAATTTGTTTGAAAAATGGAAGAAATGAATGGCTTTGAACGTGAAAGTGGATGAACATATACCCAAAACGCTAGAAACACATGAACTATGAGACCTCGATAAACTCAAATGGGTAGACTACCAACTTCATATCTCTATGCTGATTAATTGATTTGACAAGTGAATGTGTCAGATGAATTCCGTCATCTAATGTTCCTATTCAAGTGTATAACATTATTAAGTGCTTTATAATAATGTGTATGTATTAATATTATTATTTATTTTACTTTTAGAAAATATGTCAATTATGGTTTAACACATATTTTATAATTCGTGGGAAAGCATCTGAGACTGATTCTGAATCGAAGGTAATGTAATTTACTAAAATTTGTTTTTTTTTTCATTATATTTTATTTTCTCTATAAAGTAGTAATTAATTATGCCTGAAAATAGCGATCTATTTTAGACTGATATATCGGTCTCTAGTTTTATTTACATATTGTTTGGGTGAAGGCGAACCGTCTACGTTGACTGTTATTATTATTATTGTTCCCTTGGGGTTACTATGGTACATACAGCTTCACAAGATCATCTCCGTCTCACCCTGTTCTCTGCAGTGTTTCTTAGCCAACCCCACCATCGCCAATAAGCTTTCACTTCCTCCCCACACAGGATCTTCGTCATGTAACACTTGGACTTGGCATCTAACGCCACCCAACGGTCTCCTTGGCTCATGTCCAATGCATCTCCATTTTCTTCACGATATTTGTCAGGCAATAAGGTTTTGGTTGATTTATGTTGTCAGAATTTCCTATTGTTAATCTCTTCTGGCCATCTGATCTTTAGCATAAGACAGCTGTTGATGAAAGTCTGCAGCCTATTGGAAATGCTTTTCTTGATCCACCTAAACTGTATAGAAGCATTGACTTGACATTATTGTTGGAAATCCAAATCTGTGTGTGTGTGTGTGTGTGTGTGTGTGTGTGTATAATAGACGTACGTGTATGCACTTATTCCATTTATTGTTCATGTCGTAATTAACTACCAATAGTTAGTTATAAAAGCTTTGGCATAATTTTATTCATTATCCAGACAGTATAGTTCATTTCGCTAAAATATCCATATAAAACTTAGCTTCAGTTTCTAATATTTCCCACATTTTTTGTTGCCTACGTGATTACGTAACTATTGGCTGGCTATTGACGAATTCTCTCTCTCTCTACCTCTGCCTCTGTCTTCTCTTTCAGTCGCTAAGGTGTATTGATCTGTAATTACATTTCATGTGAAATTATTCGTTTATTCAGCAAATCGTGACAGCTTCTATGTGTATATAATAGGAGGGAGAGAAAGAGGGGAGAAGAATATGACTACATACTGATAGTCTAGTCTATCATGCTTGATTGGTCCTAAGTATTACGTAGAGACGTCATTTTTTTTACTGTAACTAACATTTTTTTCCGGTGATTTAGTAAAGATTCTCTTTTATTTTAGAAATATATGTACATGTCTAAACTTTAAATATCATATATTTCATAATAAAGAAAAAGTTTTATCCTTTCTATTAGAAAGGTGAAATAGAGAAGAGGAAAAATCATGGTGAGGAAAGTATCCTAGTGGTTAGTTAGTTATTGAATATATCTGTGCCATATGTATGCACTCGTATAAATGAATAGTTGGTTGATAGTAGTAATTAATAATATAGTTTTTAGGGAATGTTGCCAACCTGTTAAAGAGGGACTTGTGGAGACTTTGGTTATTTTGTTTCTATATTTCTTCAATCTGAAATCACTTTGGAAATCTTATGCACTCAACAAAAAGAACAAAATATGGAATTTCAATACCAATATCAAGTCAGCTCTTCTATTTGGGTCAGAAACTCACCGTGTCATGAAAAGTATTTCTAACAGGCTCCCAGACTTTCATCAGCAGCCGCCTTTGCTCCATTCCCAACTTCAGATGACCAGAAAGAAAAATTAGAAAGAAGAAAGTCTGGGAACGAACCAATCAAGAACCAATTACCCAACAAATAGCCCAATGGATCGAGCACACGCTAAGGAGACAATTGTGAGTGGCATTGTGCAACAGGCCCTTGGGTGGTAGGCGAATGTGAAATAACGAGTTGGGCGTTGATCGGAGGAGGTCATGTGAGGAGGAAATGAAAGCTTATGGGAAAACGTGGGACCGTTTGGAGAGAACTGCAGGGAACAAGGTGAAATGGAGGTGTGCTGGTAAAACCGTATGTTCCACTCGGAACCTGAGGGAGTAATAAGACTAGTTTCTATATATTTGTGAAAGGGAATAATAATAAAACTGATAATTAACTCAAGTCACTGACTATTAGTTTGAGTACCTTATACAAATGGTCAGTTGTTCAAATGACCATTATTATTATATTATTATTGTTTCCTTTAATTCCTAGAGGAACATAAGGCTTCAGCCGTGCGTCTCCATTGCGTTCAGTTCTCTGCTAGAGTCTTCACCTGGCTCCAAGTCTGCCCACACGTTTTCATCTCCTCTTCACACGACCTCCTCCAAGTCACCCTTGCACTGACGACCAACTCGCCGCTTCCCTTTCGGGTTCCACTCGAGCGATGGCTTGTCCAGTGATGTCACTTGATGGTTTCCTCAGAGTATGGCCAGCCAATCCATCTCCATTTCTTCCTGCCTATTTGTCTCACAATCGGTTCCTGGTTGGTTCGCTCATTGCCAGAGATCTTTGTTGCTGATCTTGTCTGACCGGCCATCTGATCTTGAGTAGTATTGAGCGAAGACAACTGTTAATGAAGGTCTGTAGTTTGTTTGATATGCTCTTTATGACGCGCAGTGCAAGTCTCTGATCCGTATATTAGCACTGACTGACTTCACATTGGAGTTGAAAATCCGGATGTTATTTTTGATGCTGAGTGTTGTTGACCTCCACACAGACTTAAGAGTAGTGAAAGCTTGTCTTGCTTTTCCGATTCTTGCTTTGATATCCTCGTCAGTTCCGTCCACCTGTAGTTGAAACGATGCTTCCCAGGTAGGTAGGTGAAGGAGGTTGCTTCTTTCAGGTTCTTTCCATTTATGCTGATCGTTGTCTGTTGTTGTTGTTCTTGTCCAGGAATCTTCATCATCTCTGTTTTCTCTATGTTCACCTGAAGTCCTATCTTTGGTGCTTCTTCTACCGTCAACTTGTTGCTTTTCGCTTGCATATCTTCCAGTTTGTGGGAAATCAAATGTATATCATCGGCGAAGTCCAGATCCTCCAAGTTATTCGTGAGGGTCCATTTTATGCCTGTTTCCTCATTGCGCGTTGTCTGTCGCATTATCCAGTCTACTGCAATCAGGAAAATCATTGGCGATAGTAGGCAGCCAGCTTGTCTTACACCTGTCCTCACTTCGAAGGATTTCGCGAGTTTCCCGTTGTGGATTACTTGGCATGCAGCATTGTCGTACAGGTGTTGGATGAGATGTATAATTGTCGGTGGCACCCCGTAGTAGCGAAGTAGCTGCCAAAGCACCTCTCGATCGACGCTGTCGAAGGCCTTTTCAAAGTCGATGAAGTTGAGATAGAGAGCTGACCGCCATTCCAGGCTTTGTTCAATGATGATCCGTAATGTGGCGATCTGATCAATGCATGACTTCTTTCTCCTGAATCCAGCCTGTTCCGGTCGAAGTTTCTCATCCAGGTGGGCATGTTCGATTCTCTCCAGGATGATGCGGCTTAGTATTTTGCTTGGGATGGACAGGAGCATAATTCCGCGCCAGTTCTTGCATTGACTTAGGTCTCCTTTCTTGGGTGGTTTGAATAAGTATCCTTTCCCCACCTTCTCCAGTAGTGGTGTCATCAAGTCCGCTGTTGCCTCTGGGTCCATTTTCAATGTTTCTGCTGGGATTCAACCTGGTCCTGCTGCTTTTCCAGCTTTTAGCATCTTGATTGCCTTCAGGACTTCTAATTTCGTCGGGGGGTTGGTGTTCACTGGTAGCTCTGTCTCCGTTGTTGGTATTGTTGGTTGGGTTGTAGGTGGTGGTCGATTTAGGAGTCTTTTGAAGTGTTCAGCCCAGTGTTTCCTTTGCTCCAGTTGTTTGGTGAGTGACTTTCCATTGTCATCCTCCACTGGCTTAATTTGTGTCAAACGTTTGCCCGATAGGTACGTAGTTGTTTGGTAGAGTGTTGCGAGGTCTTCTTTGCCTGCAGCTTGTTCTGCTTCACTTGCCATGGTTTCATAATACTTTCTTTTGTCTTCTCTGGCACTCTTCTTTACTCTTTTGTTCAGTGTATCGCAGTTTGCATTCAAATCCTGTTTTTGTTGCTCGTCGGTGCACTGGAGAATCTTTTGTTTCAAAATCCCTCTCTCTTCTATCAGTCTCCAAGTGTCCGTAGTGAGCCACTGTTTGTCCTGTCTCTTCTTTCTGCCTAGAACTTCCATGCAGGTTTGACTCCACACTGTTTTCAAGTTGTCCCAGTGCTTTCCGACGCTGACCTCTTCACCAGTGTTGATTTGTGTCTCGGCTTTGTCCTTAATGCTTGCAGTGAAGATGTCCTTTGTGTCCTGGTCCTTCAGTTTTTGATTGTTGAACTTGGCTTGTGGTCTATCTGCAGCTGCTGTTTCTCTGAAAGCTTTTAATTTGATTTGGATTGTCCCCTGTACGAGATAGTGGTCTGAGCCAACGTCTGCTCCTCTTCTTACTTTTGTGTCCAGCAGGCTGTGCCTCCACTTCCTTGAGATTGAGATGAAGTCGATTTGGCTTTTGGTTCGCCCATCTGGTGACACCCATGAAGCCTTGTGGATATCCTTGTGTTTGTATACGCTGCCACCAATGACTAGTTCATTGAAGGTGCAGAAGTCATCAAAGAGTTCTCCATCTTGATTCATTTCTCCGAGAGATTCTCTACCCATGATGAGTTCCCTTCCTGTGTTGTCTGGTCCCAGTTTGGCGTTCATGTCTCCCATTAGTATATTAATGTCACCAACTGGTGTATTGTCCATTGTTGCCTGCGTTGTTTGTCGGTGCATAGCATTGTATAATTGACACTTTCCTTCCTTTGGAGTTGAATCTGGCGGTTATTATCCTGGGCGAGATCGCCTCCCACTGCATGAGGGCCTTCGTTGCCGTTGGTGACATCATGATAGCCACGCCCTCGGTGTGCGAGTGGTTATCTTCTGGGTGACCGGAGTAGATCACTGACTCACTCTTTGACAATTTGGTGAGTCCATTGCCGTTCCATCTGCCTTCACATATTCCCAGTACTTGAATTCCTTATCTTTTCATTTCGTTTGCGATCTGGGCAGCTTTGCCAATCTCGTACATGGTGCGGACATTCCATGTCCCCACACAGACTTTTTCTTATATCTCAAGGAGATACATCGTGCTGAAGTTTCTGTAGCAGGTTTGTTTACAGGGTGGGGTTACTAGCCTCACGCCTGAGAAGGGGGCTTGTTACATTAATTTACAATTTAGAGAGAAGCGACCTTGTGGGTTGCTCCCCTTAAAACCTGGAAAACAAGGAATAAAACAATCAGAACAACACCAGCACAGGAAAATAGTTCACAACGTGAAGGGTAACAAGCGACAACAACAATAATAATATCGCAGTCAAGTACAGTTAACCAAAATGGTACCAAAATCATAGACTCACTGACTTGAGCCAACTTGAACATCTAAATCCGTCAATATATATACAGTTATAGGTATTAGTTAGTGTTAAACAAGCACAGAGTGGCAAATAGATAGTTATAGGTATTATCTATCAAAAAAAATTATATCCAAGATTCAGTGTTTCAAAGGTAAATAATTGTAATAGTTTTTTCCAACTTTTTGACAAGATATTCCACAAAAATCAGTTTCAGGTAACTATGTAAATGTAACGTATCAATCGAAAAGCGCTCAAACGAAAATGCAAATGAACATAGAAATCTATTATTAGCTACTCTAAGGAATAATCTATCTCTTTGGCACAGATGAATCAGTGGTTTCTTTTCTTCCTGATAGAGTTATCTTACTGGTCTTTATTTCTCTAATATTTTACAAGTTTGACTTATGATGTACTGTGACGATTTCTTTGTTTTTACATCAATAACCCCTTTTGGTACACATATATAACATGTAGTAATACAAAGTATTAACTCACATTTTAAAGCAGCCTGTGTAGAGATAGGTGTCAGAATACTATCATTTTTGAGGTAGTGAAGATAAATAGCGTAGTCAGCTAAGGATAGACGCCTTGTTGATGTGTGCCTAAAAGCACTAGTTCAGATATGTGTGTGTGTGTGTAGCTTATCGTTGATTGCTTGCACACGTTCAATATACATCATAACTACTAGTAGTGAGCCAGAAAGCAGTTATTGAAAGCTACAGTAAATGAAGTTATATGTGATTCCGTGGGGTTATATTTGAAAGAAAATGCATTTTTCTTTGATCTAGGTAACCTTTGAAACTGATCACTGTACATGTACTTTCCCATCATCATCATCATCGGCAGCAGCAGCAACAAAGGGAGGAAAAGGAAAATTTGACAAATCATTAGCTGGTTATTCATTTTTAAAACTAACACCTGATGAACTAGATAAACCGTATAAAGGAAAGTTAAAATTCCTGACTTCAAAGTGTAATGTAAGTTTTTTTCCTGTCAATTGATATTTTGTTTTATCTTGAGTATTATTTTCTTATTATATTATGCTTTAATATATTTGATGTTGAAATAAGCAACAGAAGTGACGTTGCATAGTTCACTGTAAGTTTTCCAAGAAGTATATCTGTTGTTATTGTGTGTATTTCACATGAAGATCAAACCTGAGACAAAACAAATCCCCATAAACAAACTCTTGAAAATTAATATGATGCTCACCAATGGCTGGCTGCAGGACAAAATTGTTTGGAGTCCTAGTGAGAAGTTATGACACGTGGGGTCCATCCGGTCGTAGGTGAGGACAAATACTCGGCGATGACATTGGCTAGTGGTTGTGTGAAAATCACGAATTGGTAGAAGTTATAACTCATGAGTAATTGAGTCGGTCGCCAGTAGCCGAATGGCCTACGAAGGTGCCTTGTAACCAGATGGTCCTGGGTTTGAAATCCGGTGGGTGCGTACTCCCGATGAGTCCCAAACCAGGACGAAACAGTTGTCATGTACTCGCTGATTTTCAATTGTTCTCTAACTGATATCAACCCGTGACTAAACTTACAATAAATCGAATCTTCTTAAGCAAGCTATTGAGAATGATATCATGACTGACATCTACTTTCATTATGGTAAATAAAAGGTTAGCAACTATTCACTAGTTAGTTTATCAATAATTTTGATTCTCCTTTAAAATTAAATGGAATTATTCAAGTATTTTTGCCAATTATTGTAGCTGTGTGTGTGTGTGTGTGTAATGAATGATGATAGGAGTCAGTCAGTAGGTCAGTCCCGACCGATAGCTACTAACTTGACATGGTAGTCAGGTTTTCGTATAGCGATGACCATATGAGCTCCACTGGCTGGAACTAATGCTCCTGCAGGTGTTACCATGCCATAGATAGCGGTTAATCTAAAGGCAGTCACCGTCATAGTGTAAGTCATCTATCGTTACTTGGGAGACATGGTTCTTGTACCAGTCACACACTTTTTGTATGAGGGTTGATGATACTACCCGGCCGCCTAGGTTGTGATAGCATTTGAGCCCGGTGACACACTGACTGATAGTCAAATGCCTAAAGCGATAATCAAAATATTCAAGCGCAATATAGTTAGTGGTGGATATTTACGGCTCATATTGTAGATGTTTTATGGTTTCTATTGCTGTGTGAGTTTAGTATTTCGTTAGTAATAGCTTTGTCATAAAATCTGGAGAGCAACTAATGTTAGTTGCTTGTTCTCTTTTCCTTCTTTTATTAGTTGGAATTCAATTTTTTAATGGATTTGAATATCGCTCTTATACAAGTTGGTAATTGTATTATCCACTTTATCTCATACCCACAGTTTTTGACCACGTAATTGGTAAAACTGTCAATTGTAACTGTTGCACAACTGGTTCAATCTTCAAATGCAAATGAGGGATTGACACGAAAGAGACTGTTGTTTTTCTGTATACAGTTTGATATTTTTGACTTCGTAATAGGAATAAATGATTGAATCTATGGCATTTGTTGACTAGATAGCTCTTTTTATTGAAAACTCCAATAAACCATCGACTCGAGGGGAAATATTGTCAAGTGGGTCTTGTTGGTGTCATTTTCCAAATATGTCTCACTGATATCGCTTTCATTGATCGAATTAGATCCTAGTTTTTTAATGCCTTGTTTTTCCTTGTAAATTGGACCACTAACTTTTTTCTGATGAATTCCTTTCTCTATGCCGTGACAGTTGTCCACTATCCGACGTCTTGTAAAACTACTATCATTTCATTTTCTTTGAGCTATTCCATTGCCTATTTTCTTTGTAAAAATTAATTCATCATTTCTGGATTTGTAACTATTATCTGATGAATTTTTTGTGGTTCATCGTTTATTCTAGAATTGGAAAGAATTCTAGACGAGTCACACAGATTGTATTCCATCTCAGTCCTTTTATCACCAGAGCTTTTCTATTGAGAAGAGAGATTTGCTAGCGTGTCTCTTCAGCTGTTTTTGTTTAAACATGGCCTGACCGCTTCTCATTTTCATTCAGCTGTGATACACATTTAACCATGTTTGAAGTTCCAGCATGTTTACTTCCAATGTCTTTTGGGTTTGGGAATCAGTATCTCTGCAATCGGTTATGTAAGTTCAGGATTACTGAACAAAATACTCTTTGTCCATTCTGTTCTTAAGCTGTTGCCTAGTTGACTGGAAGTTTGTGTATCACACTGTCTGATCTATGTAACTATTCATGGCCATTCATTCGTGAGACGAATTCTCTCTCCAATGGAAGATTACCCACTGTCAAAGTTCTGTCTCTGTCTCTCTCTCTCTCTCTCTTTCATCGTTGAACATGGAAAGATAAGTGATCTACAGTAATGAAAATTGTTTGTTGTTCTCCTTACTTTGGGATCAAAATTATGTTAGATACAACATCGTTTGGCTTAGTGAACACCTAACAATTTACATATTGCTCTTGAGCTACAGACCTATAATTTATATATATATATATATATATATATATATATATATATATATATACATAATTACAGGAAGTAAATCAAAAAAGCGTTTCTGTTTTTTCTTCTTTCGTGTATAGATCACGTTTTACTTCACATGTCCATATTGTGTTGAAAAAGAAGATAATAGTCGACTGCCTCCAAATTCTCATATAAAATCTACAAAACTAGATTTACCGATCAATAATAGTAATAATAATAATTTAATGAATCAACAAAAAATCATTTCACCTACAACTAAACGAACACTTAATAGTCGGCCTACCTCGCCTTCGTCTCATGCTTACCTACTTTCACCGTCATCATCATTTATGAAGTTAAAAAAGATAACTAATTCACACGAAGACAATCATTTGAATTCAACGCCTAAAATACATATTGAAAATGTCAGTAATAACAGTAGTAACAAAAGTATAATATCTGAACAAAATGAATACATGGGTTCGTGTAGGTCGAGACATCATCTACCTCCTCCTCATCATCACCATCATCAACATCATCGAGATATTAGTTCTGAAGACGAAGAGGATGACAGTGAAGCGGAAGTGGACGATGACGAAGAAGAAGGACAAGACAGTGATGTTGATGCCTACATTAAAAACGAAATCTCCCCGCCTATGACGTTTTCTTTACCTCGAAGTATAAACAGTTCACCGTGTTTATGTTTTCCTATTGGAAATCTTTCTTTAGAACATGAAAAAACACGAGAGTTGCATATTCCGTCTGGATTGAATCAATCTACGCCTTCTCCCATTACTATTCCAGCTAATAACACCACTATTTTTAATAATAATAAAGTAATGATGAACGCTAATATAGTTGAAGAGAAAAATAAATCAGGAGCATCTGTTGTACATTATTTTGTTAAACATCATCCACAAGTGAGACGTCGAACGTCCGATGCCAATTTAAATTACCAACCATTTAGTTAGGATAGAATGCAGACACTCATCAAATTTTTGTACAGAAAGAAAATATCAGAATTGTTCACTAATCTGTGATGTATATTATTATTTTTTCCTTCCTTACTTTTCTTTATTAATTTGCCTCAGACGTAACACATCCATTTTTTGTATATGTGCACTTATGACCCAGTATAAGTGGTTCAATGTTCCATAGCATCAAAACTGGGAATATATGTATAGATACGTTTTTAATATGAATAGACAGACTTTATTTTCCAGAATAATTTAATAATTATCATACACTTCAATTGTGACTTGTAAATATGCTTTGATTTTGGTTTCTGTTTTTTGTGTATATTTGTGAATAAAAACAAATTTTATTTCGCATAGTCTTTACTACTTAAATCCAATTAAGTATATTCATAAATATCTTGGAATTCTCAAAAGAATGGACACGGAACAAAGAGTACTCTTTTCGATGAAATCATGATCAGGTTCTACAATTATATATACATTATAATGAATGAGTGAATTAGTGTTATGAACAACATTAATGTTGTTTCAATAACATCAAATCAATAATATTGATAGATTACACCTGAACAGCATCAACATAAAATAAGCTGAATGTCAAAAGAATTATGAAAGATATTAGTATAAATTCATGAGTTTATAGTTTCTACTGAAGGCCAGGGCAGTAGTAGGGACTGGACTTGTTTCTTTTGAACACAGAGCACTGGTTGTTTGAGGCGAATTGCAATAGCCTCTGCTGTTTGGAGCATGCGGTGCTTCGACGATTTCGGTAATTTGTTGGGCACCCGGTATATTATAGAGAAGGATTCTTCTATGTTGGTTTTGTGACCGGTTTGCACCAGCCACCGTAGAAGAATCCTTCTCCATAATATACCGGGTACCTAACAAATTACCGAAATCGTCGAAGCACCGCATGCTTTAAACAGCAGAGGCTGCTGCTGGATTCAACAAAGAACTTGGCACCGAAGTGCAGCAGTTCGAGTTGCCACGTTCCAAATAGCACACAAAGGTAGACAAGAAAATGAGTGAAGAGAATCAATAGAATTTAGACAAGTATAAGAGTGAAACAGATTGAGTAGTGGTAGAAAGGAGTATGAAAGATTAAAGAGACTGAATACATCTGCGCCATTGACAACGATTTTGAGCCATGTCATCTAGTGTCTCCAGCCATTGATTCTTAGAGTCCCGAGGACCCCAACCCGGAAGTCTGCATCTGCCTACCTGACTCAGTTTAACTGTCAAGGATTTCATGGATTGATGCCATGTTTTGTTTGGCATGGCACCACTTACTCTTTTCCAACCTGCACCTATATCAGCTAGTAATGCCCGTCGGGGGAGGCGATGGTTAGGCATGCGCAGCACGTGACCTAGCCATCTCAATCTATGTAACTTTATAGCTTCTTCGATTGATTTGCCCTCTGCCCAACACTACGCCTAACTTCAACATTACTTACCTTATTATACCACCTAACGCGAGAAAGAAATCGTAAACATCTGTGGTCAAAAACAGACAACCTTTTCATGTCTTCAACTCGTATTGGCTATGTTTCAGAGCCATAGAGAAGGACGGAGCGAACTGCTGAGCAGTACACACGTCCCTTGGTTGATAGCCGAATGTCGCGCCTACGTCAGAGACGGTGTAAGTTAGCGAAAGCAGCCCGAGCTTTTTGGATCCGTGCTGAGATTTCGTCAGCAATCAATCCGTTGGTGGTGATACAACTTCCTAAATAGGTGAAGTGGTCAACATGTTCTGTCACTTCACTCCCTATCACTAAGCTAGGAGTTGACGACAGCAGAGGCTATTGCAATTCGCCTCAAACAACCAGTGCTCTGTGTTCAAAAGAAACAAGTCCAGTCCCTACTACTGCCCTGGCCTTCAGTAGAAACTATAAACTCATGAATTTATACTAATATCTTTCATAATTCTTTTGACATTCAGCTTATTTTATGTTGATGCTGTTCAGGTGTAATCTATCAATATTATTGATTCGATGTTATTGAAACAACATTAATGTTGTTCATAACACTAATTCATTCATTCACTATAATGTAAATATAGTTGTAGAGCCTGATGATGAATTTATCGAAAAGGGTACTCTTTGTTCCGTGTCCATTTTTTAGAAAATTTTAATGGGCATTTTTAATCAGTTAGTAGATGTTGTAAATAGAATTTCGGACGCTGTATTGGTCAAGCTTATCTCCGTATAACTGCCACAGGAAGACTTGTATACGTTTTTATAAACTGGAGTAATCGATAATTTACATTAGCACAATGAAACTTTCCGTCTTTCTCAGGCATTATTTAATATCTTAGTTAACCCCGACAATAGTTCATCAGCTACCTTCAACACCTCTGCATTCATACCACTAGGTAATGCTGGCTTGCCTCGTTTCGGATTAGGGACATGTTTAACAACCTTAGATCTAGTCAGAGGGCGGATGTCAGCATTCAGTTTAGGTCTGTGTTGAATGATGGGCGAATTTAGTGTGTCTGTAGGCCAGTTAAATTGCGCCTCAGAGTTCCCATTCATTGTCCCAGTTGTCTATCTTGAGATGTAACTGAATTATCTTTCTCGAATATTGTTTCGCATAGTGATAGTTACTTACATTCCGTTGCTAAAATAAATCTAAACAGTTGTGTGGCATTAACCACCTCCGATGCCATTTTCTTCACCTTATACTTTTGCCACTCGCCACTGTTAACGACCTTTCCGGAGTATTTTGATAAGCTCTCCTCGTCATGCACGGATTTAACCGGGATAAATCTCCATGAGTCTTTCAATTCCGATTAAGCAGCATAAATCCAATTCCATTAACTGGACCTTCGTTTTACCTTAGCAACAAACTTAACCGCTGTATTTACATATAACTCGCTTTGTGTCACACTTTATCAGAAAACGAATTGCTATCGGTAACATCAAGAATTATGGAACGTATCGGCTACGTAGCTGCCTCCAATTTAGTTCCGTTCAGTCAAACGTATATGTGTGAAGGGGCTAGTGTGTGTTCAGACTCTACATACGTGTTCCAGAAGGAGCGGTGGACTTCTACTGACTTTTCCCACCAATAACTTTCGCTACATGACTTGTTTGAGTTCATCATTGATTTAATGTTAGAAGTCTCCAGTTTAAGATACGTTTATCCTTATGTTTGTATTCAGTGCTGACTCGAAATAAATGGATATCTAAACGGAACTGTGGAGGACAATCGACGTTCCCGGTTCGTCGGTGTCGGCAGCCTTAGGGACCAGCGACATACTTTTCTGACTGGTACAACTTGGCTACTTCACCACTGAAGTCACCCACTGAAATGACTATGGATGAGCATCTTACTTTCAGCAGAGAATTAGACAGCTATTGGTAGGACTCATCGGAAATGCAGCCGTTCGAGACGTGGAGATTATGAACGTACATCTACTGGTATTAAAATCCCTCCTTATCCAAATGGATCAGTCCAGCTGGACACCTGTATTTTGTAGATTCAACATGTAATCCATGTGGAGTTAAGTGAATAACCACACTTGGATCTTGTATGCTCGACTTTGAAGTGGAATATACATCCATGACTAGTGAGGCCTGTTATCCGAGATTTCAAAAAGTCCTGATGTTGAATGCTTCCATATAAAGTTGGCAGCCTGGTTTCACGAGACTGTCAGGAGTGCTCCAGCTGCTATTAGTTGTCGCAGTATTAAGAGAGGGTGGATACTTGTGGAATAGTATTAATAGTGGGAGGAAAGATAGAGAATAACGGTGGTTGGTGATCAGAAAGACCCTCTTTGCTCACACTTTGGCTGCCAAACTGTGAAGTTGGTTTCTTCTTGTAATACCTGAGACAGGAAGAGCGTGTGCCACAGACAACAGGGACACCTGATACTTGTCGGCCAGACACGACATATTTGGAATTGAATCCGTAAACACATCTTACCGATGTGATGAGTAGGTATTCCTACTGACGTTTTCTAACCTCCACTCTTTCACCCGATGGGATAACATACATGTATTGCTCGTCGTCCGGAGAAAACATTTTATTGCTGTCACTCCCCTATTCGCCAGCACCACATCTTCTCCCTTAGAACCCAAACAAAACAAATTATCCACCTGAGCTACGAATCTTCTCTGTCATAGTTCTGCTTCTTACATTTCATTTGTCGCAAGCTTTAGCACTTAATATTTACCCTGATGAATCAGGAAACTATAATAATTATAATTATAAAGACGACATGAATGGCAAGCATACACAGAAATCTGACAGCACCAAGTAAGTGCTACCGTAGAGAGGAAACCTCTGAAAGCTTGCATAGAGTCGTTAAGAATGCCGGAATAACAGATACGTTCGAACTCACATAGGTCAGTTAATCTGAGCGATTTTAATAATAGATATATATATCAAATGAGTCGACTTGGTTCAGTTATATTGGTGGATCACCAAACCTTAACGAAATCTAGATTAGCAGATTTGAATACGATGACAGATCTCGAAAACTATGCGGGAATAACTATTCATGCACATAGCCATAAACTGAAATTCCGAAGGAGTAAGTGTACATAAAATCAAATCCCGTTTAACACGATATAATGAAAATAAAAAGAAAGAAAAAATATATGTTTAACAAAGATTAGACACCAGCAAAAATAAGAGGAAACGTCTCCCGAAAATCCAGAAAATATTCAAAATGTAAAGACAGGAGAAAATCTTTTATCATATAATCAGATATACAACCCAGAGTGCCTAGATGTCCACAAAACATTTTCATCAAAAGTGCGTCGGTGGCACAGTGGTTAGGACTCTCGCCGACCATGCACATGGTCCGGGGTTCGATCCCCTGCCGGCGCACACCCGATATCTATGGTCGGCCTGAATTTGGGCTACGAATATCCATGCTACAAAATTCCAAAATTGTACCGACAATACGGTATGGAATCAAGCTGTAAATCAAAATAAAATAAAAAAAATAAATAAAAATTAAACCAACTAAAAAAAAACTACATAATGCATTAACCCCTATGCCTTCGTAAAGTACCGATGTTATATCACGCATTTTTTCTCCGTGATGTTGTCTAATGACCCTGATGTTTCTCCAATGACTGCAGTGAAGGTGCCCATTACAACTTCTTCCTTCGGGTTTTGAGTGTTGAACTTGAATTGTGTTAGGCAAGAAGAAGAGACAGGGAAAGTGATAAATAGCTGGCTACGGACACGTGAAAGCTGATAGAGGAGAAAGCGATGGTGAAGCAGAAGATGAACTACAGGAGAGATGAACAGAGAAAGCAGAATATGAGTATAATCCAGAGTGTATGAAACCTCAAGGCACAGGAGAAATAAACTTATTCTCCAGTGAAATTGGGAGGACTCCTCAATCGGATGACAGATGACACTGGCTGGTGGAAACCTCCTGGAAGCCAGTTGGCCAATGTGTTTTCTTCTGATGAGAGGTGAATTAAGCATGGGTGCATAGAATGAATGCACCATGTTTCAGGCTTACAAGGATGCTCAGTT